TGTGTGTATGATGTATACAAATGTAAGGGTCAGTATAGAATGCACATCCCCTCCAATCCCATGAAGACTATAAGGAAAAATACATCTGGCATCTGCTTAATGAAATTAATAAGCAGTTTGCAACCTTCAGACACAGTATTTTATAAGCTCCAAATGAGGTAATAAATGCTAATACATTACAGGTCACATCACTGAAACAGACCAAGTTTTCCAGGGCAACTGTAGTTCAGGAGAATTTGTGTTGTGGCCAAGACAAGGGAGGGGTCTAAACCCTAAATTACCTTTAATAAAGAGCAGCTATTCAAGGAACTAAGAACTAGTATTTATTTTAAATTACTGTGTTTTCTGCAGTAATATTGCAATTTTGTAGCAATTAAAATGTTGCAAAATAATGTTTTTTATACCAAGGTGTATTCCAGGATCTCACAGCTTTGATACTGCTGCAAATTTCTGACTGCCCCCTTTCAAAACTAAAGCATTCATATATTGCCTGAAACCAAGCAAGGTATTAAAAATATGGACAGACTAACCGATTGTATAAACAACTTCAACATCATCCATCTGTGAGTCAGTAATGCTGTTCTTGGCTTCACCTTTCACATCGCCTAGGAGAAAACCTTCCTGTAAAGGGGAAGAGGAAAAAAATATTCACATTAACAGTAGCATTGAACAGACACTCCTGCTGTACTCGGTGCTGGTGGGGCCTTACCTCCAGTCCTCTGTGCAGTTTTGGGTGCCACAATATAAGATATAAAAAAAGAAAAAGCTATTAGAGAATGTCCAAAGAAGGGCCGTGAAGATGGTGAAGGACCTTGAGGGGAAGCCGTATGAGGAGCGGTTGAGGTCACTTGGTGTATTCAGCCTGGGGAAGAGGGGATTGAGAGGAGACCTCATTGCAGTCTACAACGTCCTCCTGAGGGGCAGAGGAGGGGCAGGTACTGATCTCTTCACTCTTGTGACTAGTGACAGGACTCAAGGAAATATCATGAAGCTGAGTCGGGGGAGGTTTAGGTTGGATAAAGGAAAAGGTTTTTCACCCGGAGGGTGGTTGGGCACTGGAGCAGGCTCCCCAGGGAAGTGGTCACAGCACCAAGCCTGATAAAGAGTTCAACAAGTGTTTGGACAATGCTCTCACAGGGACGTGGTGTGACTTTTAGGGCAGTCCTCCTGAGCAGGGCCAGGAGTTGGACTTTGATGATCCTTATGGGTCCCCTCCGACTCAGGATATTATAAGAAGATTTTCCCTCTCATATTAAGTGCAAATGCTGTCTTCAGAAGAAGAAGAAAAAAAAGCTGTCAAAATGTCAAAATCAACTTTTTTTTTTTTTTTTAACAGA